CCAAATACACAAACGTTAGATCATTTTTACGTAGAATTTGTTATTCAATGTCCTTTGGAGCAGGAGGAATAGAACAATATGTAAAATAACATCAAAAAATTTTATAAGAGTTTTATTTAGAAATAAAACGATCAACATTTCTGAAAACTTTTGTCTGCCAATTCTCCTCCTCCTGTTGATTCATAATCTTCCTAAGATCTTGACAGTATTGTTCATCCCCTCCTCCTCCTCCTTCTCCTCCTCATGATTCTTGTTTTCAATTTCCTCATTCTTCTTTTTTTTCTTCTCGAGCATCTTTTGGAACGATTCAATTCTGTGATCTAGTTCACATTTTGGCAGCGATTCCATTTCCTTATTCTTTCTATTTTTTTCTCTCCCCTCCCCTCCTCCTTTTCAGAACGTTTCGCGGACAGGTGGATTGAGTACTCCAAGGGGATCGTCTTTGAATCTATGTATCACTTTGGTAGGGTCTTATCTGCATACACCAATCACAAAATTCGAGGACCAAAATGGGTCTGCTAACAAAGATGCCGGTTTCCAAATATTGCAGCTTAATAGCTCTACAAACGCAACAATTTTCCTTCTTAAAAATACTATTCATACTCATTCTCAACATGAATTCCATACCATATATATTCAAGACATCACCCACTTCATCCTCATTTGAATTGTTAACGATTCTAAACACAGATTGACTTTCTCTCTCTCTCTCTCTCTCTCTCTCTCTCTCTCTCTCTCTCTCTCTCTCTCTCTCTCTCTCTCTCTCTCTCTCTCCCTCTCTCTCTCTCTCTCTCTCTCTCTCTCTCTCTCTCTCTCTCTCTCTCTCTCTCTCTCTCTCTCTCTCTCTCTCTCTCTCTCTCTCTCTCTCTCTCTCTCTCTCTCTCTAGGTCAAACTTTAGTATCCATTATGCCTTTGAATAGATTCAATCAACATTTTCTTCAACCTCAAGGAGAAGCAGGAGAAGGAGAAGATGGAGAAGAATCTGTGCTGGCCGCCTCACCACTGAAATCACAATTAAATGCTCCGTTTTATGTTTGTGATTCTTTCGATTACCATGTAAAAATTTTGATTCGTTTCAGAGGAAAAAAAAAATCAATTTGAATAAAAAATATTATATATTAGACAATGGCGATATAGTATTTAAATTCCCCATTTCCGCTAGGATTGAAAGCATTACACAATATAATGTTTCAGGAGGTGGAAAAGTTTTGATGAATAATAATACATCTTTCAAATTTCAACAACTAGCAAATAAGTCCATCGCTAAGGGGAATGAGATGAGTTTTAAATTGGGGACAACTCCAACGATTTTTATTGAGATATTGTTACAGTGTCTGCTAGTTGAAAATGAGTGAAGCACAAATTGTAGCCGAACTTCATGAATCAGTCAGAAAACAAATACTTTCCTGGCTATATGCCACGAGGAACATTGAATTATATCTATTGAACACACACGATAAGAGTTTGAAAATAAAATATAAAAACTTCCGAAATTGAGAATTAGCATTCTCCTTCAGACAAAATTATGTATATGAACACATCATTCTGAATATTCAAACAGATAACAACTACTTTCCTGGCTATTTACCGCGTCGAACATTGAATTATATCTCATGAACATTCAGAAGGAGAACATGAAAAATAAAGAATAAAATCCTCCGAAATTGAGAATTGACATTCTTCTTCAAATCGGATGAATAATATGATGTATGATATAGAAATATAACTTACTAATATATTCAGCATTGAAATGAGAATTGGAATGTATAGGAGAAGTATACTGGCATGAACTCTGATCTTGATGAGCTTGAAAACTTCCGAAAATAATCATTCATATCAGTGATATGGGAAATATTATCTCTCACACACAGGTTATATGACTCTATTGCAATGAAACCATTTCGGATTTCTGAATCCTCATCAGTAACCATGATGTCCCACTTATTCTTACAGCCATTCTTCATGATATACACAATTTTCATCTCTCTATAATACAACTAAAACCGAGTAACACTATAACGAAATGACATCTGAGAAATTTGTTGACATTCTATTCCTGTCATTTGGAAGTTTTCAAGCTCATCATCACAGCATTATCAGCCACATCCAATCATAGGTATGAAATTAGTTTGATTCAAATCCGATTGCTCCCTCTCCACCTCCCCATCCCCTTCCTCCTTCTTCTCCTTCTTCTTCTCCTTCTTCTTCTCCTTCTTCAACCCCAACGACTTTGCTCTGCTTCGCTTGATGTTTGAAAGTGTTCCATCGAGTTTTTCTTCTATGACCTTGGACGCGGAGGCAATTTGTTTCAAAGGTGATGTCAGTGGTTGGAATATTTTCTGTAACGCATCATCATCCTCAGACTTGCCCAATTTTAGTGCTAAATATTTTCTTCTGATTGATTTCGATAGTTCGTTGATTTTTTTCTTGCGCAGCGCATCAGCAACATCATCATGCATCTTGGTTGACGTCATCTTGATGAATGGTCCAGAGATCACAGTCTTATGAACTTATCGAAACCATTTCTATATCTGCCAGCATTCATATCGAAAGTTTTTGCAATCACCATCGCACCATATTGGTTGGAATTCCAACACTCTGAGCACAATGCTTTAAATTGATCGAATGACATGTCTGGTGAGACATGCTCGTCGAACACATGCTTCAAATCCATTTCATCCTGTCGAAATAACACCAACAGGTTACTGTTGTCTCGCACCAGCTGCTTCGGTATCTTAGAAAAAGTCTGGCATAGGTATGCTACGTCAATATCCTTGTGTCTACACATTGAAAAATATTCTCGAATTTTTTACTGCTTGTCGCATGATACATCATCAAAAATGAATATCGAATGATTTTTCGCTTCTGATGGACAGATGACATCATCATTTTCTTTAAAGGGAAAATACCCAACACCTTTCACTGAATCCAACACTTGTTGCAGCAATTGATATTTCGGTTGGTACAACGACTTTGAATACACGTAAACGTTCTTGAATTTCGCGCCATTTGGATTGAACAGCAGGGAAAGCATCGCATTGGTCTTTCCACATCCGCTTGGTCCGCAGAAGATTACTCTGAACGAATGGGGAAGCAGTTTCCCATGTTTACTATTTACTGGTGGTTTGGTTGACAAAATTTCATCCAAATTCACAATGGGTAACATCCGTTCTTGTTGAATGACCTTCATCATGTGATGATATATTTTTCATTTCATTAGGTATACGCAGAGTTGTCGAACTTCCTACACGTCAGTCTTCATGTTGCTCTACCACGTAGAGGGTGTGCTTAATTCTCTGATCGATAAACTTCCCATCGAATTATACATTCCAGGCTACAGATTTTGTGGTCCAGGTACCAAACTCGATAAAAGACTTGCAAGAGGAGACACCGGTATCAATCCGTTGGACGAGCGTGTCAAGTACACGATATCGCCTATTCACAAAATTCCTCAATAGAAGACAGACACAAAGCTGATTGGATATTGGAAAATAGAGCGTGGGAGGGAGTCAAGTCGAAGAACGCTAAATTCAAAGAGAAGGCTGCTGCTTGGCTTGTCACCACCGGAATAGTAATAATAATAATAATAATAATCTTTTATTGCGAAACGATCAACATGGACACAGCAAACGTCAGGGGTTACAGAACAATCTTAGCTACCTGTAGCATTTACATAATCTGTTTGAAATTACATTAAATACAATTTGAAAATACATAATTTCCTACATAGCATTTACATCATCTGTTTAAAATTACATTTTAAAAATACATAATTTCCTACATGTTATAGAATTCTACCTCCACATTTATTGAGTACATTTGAATTCAAAATATATTATTAGTAAATGTTAAAATCAATCTTCACATGAATCACACATATAAACTAGGTACTTTACATTACAAATGAATAGTATCATTACAACCAACAGTTGAATGAGTAAAAACATTTATTTTTGAGAAATTCAATGACTGAAGTTCTAAACCTCTTTGCATCCGCGATAGTTTTCAAATTTTGTGGTAAGGAATTGTAGGCTTTTATTGCATTATAATAAGAAGATTTTTGGTAATATGTTGTTTTGTGGTTGGGTATTGTTAATTCATTTGAGTATCTAGTGGTCAAGTGCATATTTGCAGAATATTGGTCGCTATTTCTGGGAAACAAATGCGGATATTTTTTTACAAAGCATACAAGACCCAAGAAGTACAAAGAAGGTACTGTCATGATTTCGAGTTCAGCAAAATGAGGTTTACAGGAGGCATTGCGATCTAGTTTCAGAATACATCTAATAATTTTCTTCTGTGATATGAATATTTTCTGTGAACTTGATGATGAGCCCCAGAATATTATACCATATGATATGATTGATTGCACATGGGCGAAATAATACATTCTCAGGCTACTGATTGATACTTGGTCCCTAAGGTAGCGTGTAATTCCACAAATTGAGTTCAATTTGTTATTCAATAAATTAGTGTGTGCGTCTCAGCTGAGAGTGGCGTCCAATGTAACACCTAGGAATTTAAAGTTGTCTGATATTGGAACTGATTTATTTTGCAGTCTTACATACAATGATTCATCATTGTTATTCACTTTGCTAAAAACAATGAGACCTGTTTTTGCCGCATTGAGCTTAAGATTATTCTTTTCACACCACAGGTTCATACTGTCTGTGACATTAGAAGATTTTGTTGAGAGTTCAGGCATACTGTTTCCCACTATGATAACAGAAGTGTCATCTGCAAACTGGTACACACTACCAGGGTGTAAGGCTTTTGGTAAATCATTAATGTATAGCAAGAAAAGGATCGGCCCAAGTATTGAACCTTGAGGAACACCTTGTTCAATATCAAGTTTCCTTGAATAATATGGTTCTTTTCCATCTGAAACAGATACCACCTGTACCCGATTTGACAGATATGACTCAATGAGTTTGTATCCAACGCCTCTAATACCATAACAATCCAGTTTATTCAGTAGTTTTGAGTGATCCACTGTATCAAAGGCCTTTGAGAGAATGAAGGTCAAACGAAAACTTGGCATGGGTCTTGTATCACAGCAATCCCCATCCAACATTATCAAATTAATAAAAAATGTACTATCAAAGTCAGATGGTGGTGGTGGTGGTAGTACAACATCAGGAAGTGGTCTGAATAAATCTGCATTGAAAGCACTCCATGCAGCCAGAATGGCAATCAAGAGGGCTGGCGGTAAAAAAAGAATCAGAGTACCAAGAATCATACCTCTTCCACACAGTGGCGGTATACTACCATTGATACCAATCTTTGCCGCCTTGGGAGCCCTAGGATCTCTAGCTGAAGGAGCCAGAGCAGTCGCAAAGACAGTCATTGATGCGAAAAATGCAAAGAAAAAGCTCGAAGAAGATCAAAGACATAATAAAGCAATGGAGGCTATCGGCAAGCAGGGTTCCGGCCTATTTCTACGCAAAACATCGAGAGGATTCGGACTGTACTTGAAGAAACAATCAAAAAACTCAAAAAACTTCTAGACAAGCTACCCAATAAATCAATGACTTTTTGACTTTTTGACACCACTTCAACTCGATCCAGACTCTGATTACGGACTAGCATTGTTGGGATTCCATTCATACAACAGTATACCAAATATCGACAAAGGATCAAAGTTTCATCTGCGAGATAAGACCAAGGCGGGAAAGATCATCGATATTCCCGAAGGTTCATACGACATTGTGGACATTGAGACATTCATACGCAAAGAATTGGGCATCTCAAGTGCAAAGGACGTTGATGATATATTCTCGTTGAAGCCCAACAATAATACACTAAAGTGTGAGATTTCGAGCCAAAGGTTTGCCATCGATTTTCGCTCGAAGGATAGCATAGCTCAAGTCTTGGGATTTTCAAATAGATTGTTGAACGCACAACAAGTCCACACTTTCGATTTGCCGGTCAGCATAACCAAAGTGAGAACCATTCACATTGATAGCAACGTTACTGCTGGAGCTTTCTACAACGACAGACCATCACATACGATCTACGAGTTTGCAGTTGCAGTCGATCCTGGTTACGCCATAGACGACACTCCCAGAAATCTAATCTATCTACCTATAGTCAGCAGGCGGAAATTGCCCAACATTACACTCTAGATTCTAGACCAAGATTTCAGGCAGGTGAATTTTAGAGGTGAAGAAATCATCATAAGATTGGAATTGAAGAAACTCGCAAGATGGTACTAGTGTTTGATTACTCCTATAAATCAGATAATATACCATCATCAGCAACATCATCGGCACCAGTTCTCTCGACACCGTACACCAAAGCAGTCGTGTCTTCGAAGAGCAGCAGCAGCAACAGAAAAACATTGACATTATCCAGTGTCCTGTTTCTGAAATCACTCAAAGACTACAATGTTGTTAGCACCCGTGTTCGACGTTTTCCGCAAACCCAGACTCGACGAAAGCATCACTAAAGTGGAATGGCGTACCTATTATCCATATGTGAAATCATTCGAGAACAATGATGTCATCGATATAACGGTTAATCAAGCAGATTCGTGGTTGGCCATGTTTGAAGGCATCATTACCATCAAGGGTAAATTGAAGGTGACCGGTGGTGGTACTGGTACATTAACCCACAATGCTAGAGCTTATCTCTTTGATTCCTGCACCTATGAATTATGTAATAAAGAATTGGACACTGTCAGATATCCTGGAATGACGAGTACTGTGCGAGGATACTTGTGTTATACGCCTGAAGACTCATGTCATCTAGCCATAGCAGGCTGGAACTATCCCAATGCTCCGATCCTCAACACCGATGGTACGTTTAGCATGAACATTCCACTGAAACATTTGTTTTCCATCTTCAATGATCATCAAGTGGCAACGTGGGGCAAGCAGTCAATCCGTTTAGTGAGAGCTCGCAATGATGCCAATAGTGTGAAGGTTGTCGAGAGAGCGAATACTGCTTTGCGAGGATCTCCTCAGACTCAGAGTATTGCTGAAATAACGATAGAAAGCATTAATTTGAAAGTGCCACATCTCACACCCAACGATGACATAAAGTTGCAGCTGTTGACACGTATCAAAGCAGATGAGCCTATGATGATACCGTTTCGCCGATGGGAATTGCACGAGCTACCAGCACTCACACAAGGATCTACCATAGAAATCTGGTCCGTCAAGACATGTTCTGCATTGGACAGTCCAAGATATGTTATAGTATTTTTCCAAACGAAAAAAGCCGATAATTTGCATGAAGACGTCACCTTGTTCGATAATGCCAACATCAAATCCATACGATTGGCTCTGAATAGCGACTATTATCCGCAAGAACGAATGCTATTGGACTTTTCCCGAGACCAATATGCTGACGCTCACTTCAACTATACAGAGTTCAACAAGAGCTACCATAACTGTCAAGAAAAGCGCTCTCTAGTAAACTTTGCCGAATTCAAATCCCGACCAATGTTTGTTATCGATTGCTCGAGGCGCTATCTGGGTCTGAAGTCGTCCACAGTTGACATAAAAATGGACATTGAAGCGACTACAGGCTTCCCTCCCGACACCAAAGCCTATTGCATCATCATTCACGATCAAATCATGGAACATCTCCCACTCAGCGAAATTGTTCGAAAAAATGCCTAGTTAGGTGTTGCTGCATCAGTCAGACGTCAGTTTGCTTCGAAGAGTCATGGAGATCGCACTGGTTGACATTCAAGGGTTCACGGTTGATGGTGAATTCATTCCAAAAGAAATGACCATCCGCATTGGCAAAAAGACGAGTCATTTTCTATTCAAGCCATCTGTAGAATTTTCGAGTTTAATCAGAGAAGATAAAAAGATGGCAAATCACCTGGAACGCTTTGTGCATGGTTTGAGATATTCCAGTGGTTATGTGGATTTAAATGAGTTCGATGGAATACTACAAGACAACCTGTAGCAAACAAATATCATCTACGTTAGAGGACACCAAAATATTCAGTTCTTGCAGCGAAAATGTGCAGAGTTGGCGATGACCAATCACATTGTGAATTTAGAAGATTTTGACAATTCTTGGTGGCAACCAATAACGTTTCAACAATCCATTTCACCTTGCATGAATCATTTCCGCAGAGGAAGGTTCCAGAGCAGTCTTTACAATGTCGATACTTTATATGATTGGCTATGTAATTTAATACCTAAATAAAAAACTATATATCGTAATTTCAGAGTTTTTATTCATCACATCCCTTATTTCTCAGTATAATGAAAATAACATGTGAGATTAAAATGATTGAACATATTAGTGTACAACAAAGTGTCAAAATTGCAATGATATTGACAGAATCTTGATCATCATCTAATTTTACGGGTGATTTATTCAATGTAAATGTCTGCCAGTCCCCAGTTTCGCCGTCACTGCCATCAGAAAACGATAATTTCAATTTGTAGTCGATGGTGGTCCCATTGACTCGAGGCATGTCGATTGAATATACAGGTAGTTTGTTATCATTGACATGCATTCTTTTCATCATCTTCCAATCACATTGTTGTGTACGATTCATATCAAAACATATGGCTGCATTCCTCGTATCATATGGTATGTTTGTGTAGAAGACGTTGTTGCTCAGAGCTGTCAATAGAATGAAGCTTGCTTTCAGTATCGCCATCTAGCTGTGTTGGTTGGATTCTTCTCGATGTAGGAAACGTTGCAACTGAACGTCTTGGTTCTGTGAACACCTTGGTTCAAATACTCAATTGCTCGAAATCTTTGAACAAACAAACTTTCTGCTCATACAATTGGATGTCTGCACTGAGCTTTCTAACTTTCAACCCAAATTCTTCTAGTGCACGTCTGTATTCGTCAGAAGACATGATACAACTGTTTTTTACATCCATACTTTCAACCCACATCTTATTACATCTCTTTCCCACTCTCTCTCTCCCTTTCTCTCTCTTCTTTTTTCGTCTCTCCCTCTCTTTCTCGTACACATCATCCAGACAAGGGTGTGGAAAAAGGATACACAGAAAAGTCTAATAATTGTTTCTATATTCTAAATTGTAAAAGTGTATAATAGTATAAATGTAAAAAGGAATAATAAAAATGAAAAAAAAGTTTATACAATGGAATATGAATATTAGGAATAATTAGATAATACTAAAATAATTGAAAATATACATATATACAACATTTGGTAAATTATTGGATGAATAAAAGAAGTTACATTTTTTTCATGGGAAAATGAGTCATCAATACAACACAGCGTTGGTTTAAGAATTTTGGTGCAAAAATACTGGGGAGAAAATCAATCCGTCAAACTGTAGTGACCCCACGGAAGTGTGTCAAACGAATCGTGAATCAGTTTCCACTTATCATCTTTGGGACTCAGACCAATTTTTGTTTGTTCGATGGAAAAACATCGTGAGCGTAGGAACGAATCGTTTGCTGGGCTACGGTCTTTTCTTTCCAAGCCGTCAGACAATTCACATAGTCATCAAAAGTCAACTTATTTTTGACAACACATTTCTTGACACCCTTGGAATTTTTAGTTATACCGAAATTTTCCAATTCCCTATCTAGTCGTTCTTTACTGAATCCTTTTCTTTCCAATCGCTTTCTCTCTTTTTCAATATCCTCATCCGTTATATCCAATTTATAACTGTACATCTTGGATCGTAGTCCAGCAAAATGCGTAATAATCTTACCGTTTGCCTCATCCTTTAATAGGCCCAAGACTTTTTTATTTACTCGAGGTATAATATAAATATTGTCTGGAGCATAGTCAGACGTGTCAAATCTCTCGATATTTGCATCAATCACCTCACTATACACATCGTCACATACAATTTCGTAGATGAAGCTGTCCGTATCGGTATACATGAGTTTTACGTCAGCTCCAAGCTTTGATAACATGAAATTGTAGTGGAAATCAAACATGACAATTTTCGATAAATCAAGAATAGCCATACCAATGTATAGGGGCTTGTTGAAAATCAACTCCGACTTTTTCAGTTCGATAGCCATGAGGTTTTCATCGAAAACTGTTCGAGTTCAAAATCCAGGACTGGAAATTGAATTCTTAGCACCATAACGGCCTTCATATCTTTGTACCAATTTCACAACGCGGTGATTACGGATATTTCCCATTGTTTTCCCAAACACCGCATTGTTCATCAATTTTCGCAAGTCTCTTTCGAAGTCACTAGTGGCCAAGGTCCTCAATCGCGTATTCAACGCAATGTAGGACTTAAGCCACGGGGCTTGCTTAAATTTCAATACTTTATGGATTTTGGTCAATTTCAGACCGTGTTCTAATGCCTGCTTCAAATTTCGATAATGTAAAGTATATTGTTTTTCATCGTGGAGTGTGGTCATTAGTTTGGATAATTTTGAATTTGGTGTTGTGCGGTGTTCGGGACAAAATGGTAGGTCCTTGTGTAGGTCTTGCAACCTCTCAGGATACTCCAAATCAACTTGGAGAATATAGCCTTCTGGACTGTTGTCAGGAATTTGGGTTACATCAATGTCAATATTTTCTACCCATGAAAAGCCCCCATAAGGGAGGGGTTCACTCATTGCTTTTCCATAAAGGTTATTTACATCGATATAAAGAAGGTACTTTGACGGCTTTTTTGGATCGTAATTTTTCTGGTACTTATTGTTTGCTTCGCTATACCTATTGCAACAAACCGATACTCCTCCTCTTATCGCCTGCTCCACAAACATCACCATGTCGATGTCTTTGATGATTCGCAGCTTACACTCAGTATACTTGAACATGCAATCCCACGTATAGCCGGGCATTGTGTAATACCATGCAGGATCGAGGCCATACGTCTTGAGGGATGACGCACGGAAATTTTCCATGACGTCGGCAAGAAGAAGAATATCGGTCCGCATATATAGGTCGCTATATTCTCCTAGCGATTTCAGCTCGAAAGATTCGCAAACTTTTTGCGCGTGCGCGTAATCGTCGTCCGAAATATTTGTATCGTTCAATTTGTTGTAGAAATTTTGAATGCTTGGCAACTTGGATTCATCCAATCTTTCCACACTATTGACATAATCATATGGGAATACTCCTTTTCGTGTCAACAATGCAAATTTCGGCTCATTCACGTCGCTGAATTCCTTCTTTAGAATTTTCAAATCATCGACTTTCAACGTTGACACTAAAGCATCGAGACTGGTTCCCAAAAAGCGGAAAGAGTCGATGAATCGGAATTTTATGCTTGTTTCATCATCATGTTGTGTAAACGAAATGTATTTTTCGCGATTAACCGGGAGTACGCTCACTCGTCCCCGCTTGGAAATGTCTCTGATTATAAAATGCGAATCATATCCTGAGAGGTTGTGGAACGTAATGGGAACAACGAACAGTTTCCTAAAGTTGAGATTACAGGGAGCCTGGTGTGCGAAGCCTCTGAATGCGCCAGTAAAATGGTCGTGGTCACGTACGATAACGTCTTCTGCCTTGAATTCCTCTTCGCAAATGTGGCAGATGGTTGCGCCACTGGTACTAGCTGGTTTAACTACCATTGGAACGATATTTTTCGATTTGGATTCGACAAATTTGGCAATTTTAGACATTTCGCAGGCAAACCAGTCCATACAATCTCCACCCCTATGACTACGATAAAATGACAGCGAGTCATCGGAAGAACATTTAAAATAGTACCCAGTACTGTATGCTTTATGATGTTGATACTTTGAAGTGATTTTTGAAATTTTGGAATTACATTCCTCCAACTGCGATTCGAAATCAGCATAAATGATGAAAGGACATGTCTGCTTATACACATGGTTCTGGAATTCTACAAAATCATACTTGGGGAATGAAATTTTCTCATTATTAATTTTCTCACATAGAGCAGCATGATTATCAAGCTCCTCCTGGCAATGGTAATAGTTGAGGCACCGATCGCAAATAAATTTCTTACTACGATTTTTGTTGAGTTGACTTGATACTAGTCATGAAAGGTCCTTAATCCAGACATAGTGATATTTTACGTTAACGTTTTCCTCAATACTATCATTATCGGGAGGAGCTTCATTGTCATTCAATTTTGGGAAATATTCGTCTTGAATTAATAGCAAATTAACGTGTCGATTACATTCATGTTTAGTCAGTCTGGTGGGTACGACAGTGTAAAATGTCCGTTCGTTGACTTTTGTCACCTCTAGCGCATAAACATTAATCGAAATATCATTCATTTTTTCAAATTTTGTGATTTGGGGCAGTTTCATTGGTATGTCTAATCCTTTGATGTTCAAAACTTGTAAATAGTGAGGATAATTATTAACTCTTCTCGAACTTGCTTTAATAGGGTGCAAACAACTGACTATGCTCCAATAGAAGCAAGCCTCATCATCATTTTGAACGTTGATGCAAGCCTGCTTTTTCTCAATCTGCTCTGGTAATTTGATGTATGATGAGCCATTGCCCATTTCATATTTATTTATGGCAACCTCCAGAGAAATAATTTC